ATATTGTTTTAATTTTTCTCATTTCTCCACTGGGAATAATCATCTTGTTGAAAAGAACAGTGATCTAACGAGAGACTTAACTTGAGAGTCAGAACAATGAATTCATTGCAGCTGTGTGAGAGGGGAACCAAGGCGGAATCCACAAGGGGTTTAGCTCATTTTAGAGTAAAAAGACAGAAGGGGAGGTGATATTGGGACACAGTGAAGAGTCAGAGATTAACACAGATGGGAACAGGAGGCAGAGCTCTCACTGCAGTAGCCATAGAGAAAACGGAGCACTGCTTAACCAAACTATGGGGCAGAGATAGAGATCCCGTTGACTGTTGACTGTGTTCTTCCTTACTTTAACACCTGGTAGGCAGGGGCCTCATTTCAGAAAACTTCTCTGTGTGTGTAGCACAGAGTCCCCTGGGCAAAGGGTTTCCCTGTTTACCAACAGCTCTCAACTAAGACCTGACAAACTCACTACACCAAATACATTCTTATAGTTATCCATAAAGAGTAATATGAAAGGTATCTACAGAAAGCTCATAACTTGTCAAGACTTCTAATAATTGTGAGGTGTATGTACGGATAATGTTTAAGGAATAATGTACACTGAAAGTTTGCTTTATGGACTTTGAGTAGAAATTGGTCTCCAGGAGGTAATGTGTCTAGATGGTCACCCACTCAAGCAAGGAGCTGTTGCCCCTCCCTAGTCTGCTGCAGAGGTAATGCAAAGCTCTATTGTCTACCCTTGCCACAGTCAACGGAAAACTGTCCGAGACAATCAAAACCACTTGAAGGTAGAAAAGAAACTGCAACAAGGCCAGAGTTCGCCCCCGTGCCCCTGAATAGAAACAAATGGCTGTTTTCAGTATAATAGAGCATAGAGCAAGGCACTCTGGATCCATTCACTGAGGAAAACCCTGGCAGAGACGGGAGCTTTCATGAATGCTTGGATCCCGATTATTGAGAAACCAGCCAGCATTACAGCAATTGGGGAAAAGTCTATTAGATTGGCAAGGTGACAACTGATAAATGTAGACTCAGATTCACGTTTTATTATTTTGTTTTGTAGTGTAACCACTTGTTTTCACCACTCTCACTTGATTCTGGTCAAACCTTTATTCTTTCTTAAATAAAAACTTCTTCCGTTTTGTTATAAGTGCTCACAAGCTCTGGGTGATTTACAGGAGCGGTGGCTTAAGGTAAAACTGATAAACCGGGGCACAGTGCTCTGTTGGCAGCAGAGGATCTGGAATTCTTGTGAGCAGCCAGTGCAAGGGGTTAGATATCACTGGGGAACGATTCAAAGGGATTTGAGGATTGGGGTGCACCTACTGTTAACCAGCAAGGCGAAGGAAGGGCTAGCATAAGCCCAGAGGGCTTATGTAGGGCTGGCAGTATCAGGGAGCTGATACCCAATTACCACAAGAGAGACTCCCTCCCACTGGAGGCAGAGGCTAACAATGTGACTCAACATCATGGGTACCCCAAGGGGGGCAAAGTTGTGGCAATACATAGAATATTCCCTGTTCCAAACAGCATCATGAATGAGAAGAATTAGGCAATTATTTCTAATGACTACGTCCAAAGTCTGGGGAGGCAAACTGAGATCGTGGGGGGCAACTGTTCCCCTTGACCAAAAACAAATGATACCCTGTCTGGTAGGAATGTATTTCTGCAACTTTTACCTGGAGATGCCAGAGGGACAATCTGGTGCCTGAGTTTATGAGTCTGCTTATCACCCTCTGCCAATATTTATTTAACATAGATGATTGGTTTCATACTGAAAACAGCATACACCATTTGCTTTGCTTATAAACTTTGAGATGTCACACTAAATTAACCCTCTAAGTAATGTGATATTATCTAAACTAAAGTCATCTTTTGCCAACAGGAAAATTACTTCTGCTAGAGGGCAGCCACCTGTGAATTTAAATCCTGGCTTGGTAGGGTTGGACTGGGCTTCAAAATGCATTCCAAATCCTCATGCTTTTTGGACTCTTTATTTTAACCACATTTTCTAAAAATCACTGTTGTCCCTGACAAGGGAGTAGGGAAAAGATGCAACAGGCATCTGAACCATTTAGCTAAGGTGACAATTTTAATGTGGAATGCAATCTCCCCTTCCCCCCCATTGTGCAAAGATTTTGTGTGCATATGTGGAGTGGAAACATGAATCATAGCTCAGCTGGGGGAAAGTGGAAGAAGAGGTAAGGAGATCAAAGGGAGGAAAGAAATTAAAATTTGCATCGAGATCTTTCTATTCCATTTATTCCATAGTATTTAGTAGTATGCCAAGGTTGTGCACCTTCAATGCACAGTTTGTACATTTGTTTCACTGAGGAGAGAATCAATAATAGGATTGTGTGCCACACATGATTAGATAGAGTGAAAATATGCCTGGTATCCACCGCACGCCAGAAGGCCACCTGTACAGAAATGTAATTTCCAAAATTAGTGCCTTCAGCATGGGGCACCTGTGGAAATGGCATTGAAATACAGTGTGGGATATGTTATGACTTCCATGAGGAAGCAGTAGTACTATGTTTGCAGGATAGTGGGCAGGCCTGGGAATATTTCCTGCAGTAGTTGGGACATCTGGGGTTCTGCCTATATTGGCGCTTTTAAAGAGACAGCTTCATATTGACTGAAACTTGAAAAACATTAACGTTTCAGCTAAAAGGAATAGAGATGATTGATAATTTTTTCTGTTCCCTTATTAAGTTTGTAGAAGATCCGTTCCTTCATCACCAGTTTGCTTTACTTCCTGCTTGCCACTGTCATATCATCACAAACCCGTATGTAAGACTTCACAGTCTGAGATATGATTGTGATGTCATAAATTCAGCATTATGACCTCAATGAATAGGTAAATAAGAGAGAAAGAATGGGCTGGGTGGGAGATACTCTTTTAAGACACAAATATCTTTTGTAGCTGTCAAAATATAAAAGGAAAATTGGGGTGTTTCACACTTAAAATTAATTTATCTAAATTTCACATTTGTTTCATAAAGATTTTCTCAGTATGAACATCCCTCTGTAACTTATCTGCAATAACGTTTATATAGGAACGTTCATCCTAGAATCACAGAGCACCTTACAAGTACTAGCTAATTCTCAGGGAGGAATGAGGGACCGGAATTCGTACTTCTGGGTTCTTGTCCTAACTGTGTACTGACTCTGTGTGACCTCAGGTAAGTCACTTAACCTCCGAGTGCCTCAGGGCATTCTGAGAATTAATTAATGTTTGCAAAGTGCTATGAGCACCACGGATAAATGGTGCAAGAGAAAGTCAAATGACTATCATTATTGATCTCTATTAGCATAACTATTAAAAAAGGAAAAGTAGATAGCAACCAATATAAATTAGAATTGATGAAGTGTAAAAAAGACAAGGGAAGCTAAAGACAACAGGAAAAAATCCGTGGCTGGCAAGGCTAAGGTTAATAAGAAGGAATTTCTTAAGTATATTAGGAACAAAAGAAATCCTAGCAATTGTATAGACTCATTACTAGATGGAGATGGTAACATTGTTAATAATGATGCAGAAAAGACATAAGTATTCGTAGATATTTCTGTGGTATATTTGGAAAGACGCAGGACGAGGTGCTTGTATCATGTGAGGATGATGAAATACTTTCCAGTTCATTAGTAAACAAGGAGGATGTTAAACAACATCTACTAGGGAATGGGATAAACATCCCACAATGCTCTGGTTTAACTGGTGCAATGTGGGAATGCTGAATTGGTTTCCTATTTGTTGGAAAGGTAATATAGAGGCATTCAACAACCTAAAACATTTGAAATTTCCTTCCTGCACATTTTTTATATATTTTTACTTCACTTCTGTTGATTGTATATGTCCTTCAAATGAATATAGAGCTTCAGTACTTTGTTATTATTATTAATTATTATTATTATTATTATAATGTACTGTCAAAATAATGTTGGTCATTTAATACACAAAGCTGTGAAACTTAGAGCGCTAGAACGAGTTTGCCCATTAGCTTGAATGTTTCCTGCTGCTGTAATCATGATCTATTGTGTTGTAGGTGTGCATGACACTTCACAGATGAATACAAGTATGTTGTGCCTTCACCAGGAGGCTTACAATATAGCCTACATCAATACCCCCCTAAGATGTCAAGGCCTTCGAGAGCAGGGAAGGAAGTGGGGTGGTTCAGACACAGTATACAATGGATAGAGAAGGCAGTTCTTAGGGGAGCGTGGGTCCCGCACTGGCAGTATCCAAGCTCTAGGGATAAGTGGCGTGTTGTTGAAAGGCCCCACTGAAGTAGTGTTTTAAGGAGGGATGTGAATGAAGGTGGCAGATGAGCATATGAGAAGAGGAAGACTGTTCTGGGACTAAGGGACAAGGTAGGAGAAGGCAAGAAGCTGAGGATGGCAGAAGGGTGTATTTGTAATGGTTGTGAGGGGGAACTGGCTATGGCCAGAGCAAAGGCAGTGGAGGGGAATGAAGAGAAAAGGAGAGCAGAGATGCAGACCGGGGGAGGAGTGGTGCTGAAGCTTGCATTTAATGCAGAAGGTGACGGAAGCTAGTGGGGTGGGGGTGGAGCTATAGATATGGTGACAGCGATGGAGGAGAGAGAGAGAGGACATCTTTGCTGGGCTTTTGGAACGGAGGCGAGATAAGCAGGGAGGCCAGAGAGCCACTGTTTGTTGGGGCTCAGGTGGCTAGGTTCAAGGCTCAGATAAGTGCTTCAGCAGTGGGGAAGAGCATGGGATGGCAGACTGTCGCAATCTCGTGAAGGAACGTTTGGCGGGAGATAGCTGAAGTCCAACTTCTTTCCCTCGCTACTGGAACAGATGCTGACAAGTTGATTTGGGCCAAAATGCAGACTTTGTAAAAATGGCTTCAAAATAATCTCATGCTGGTAGGAATGATTTCATCATTAAAGAAACAATCAAGGGGATAGGAAGCAGAAAGGGTCCCTGATCAGTCTAGCTGTGTGACACCCAGAAAGTAAACACGTAGCCGGAGGATAAGCATGTTGGATTTTTAAAATGCTTCATTTTATTGCTAATATGAGCCATGACATTTTAAAAGCGAGGGCCCAGATCTTCACCTGGTGTAAATCAGCATACCTCTGAATTACACCAGCCAAGAATCTGGCCCGCTGACACCAAATCCTCCTTTGAATTACACTGGTGAGATCACTGTGATAGGTGACTGAGAAAACCAGACAGATCCACGGCACTTTACCAGCATCAAAGAGATTGCACCAGTGTAACCAAGGGCAGAATTTGATCCACTATTATCAGGATAATGTCCCCTTACAATTAGTACAGATTTTGGTTTAGCTTTGGCAGTAGTGCTGGCGGTGGAGAATGGAAACAGAACATTCTCTGTGACATCCTGAGGCATCAGTCTGGTGATCTTCAGGGAGGATTAGAACCAGGTCCCTTCTGTCACAGAATTTCAAACACCCTGTGGGGATTAATAAAGCTCAAGTTCATACGTCATATTCACACTGTAGGATTCTTTTATAATGACATTGTTTAAAGTAAAAACTCACTAATATTGAACATGTTTTGTTACATGTAAAATCATCCCTATATACAGTTTAGTCCAGTATAGTTTAGTATCCCCTATGGACTAATGCGTATGTCTGTATATAGTAAGCTATCATTTTGCACCTACATCTTGATGAGGAATTACATTTTCATTTATCAGTAGCCAGCCCCCATTGGCCTCCCCCTGAATGTACTACTCCAGCTCAGTCCAGGCAGTGTTCAGCATGAGTTTGTAATCTCAGAGCTGCATCTCCACATTCAAGATTCGGGTGGCTGCAATCTTCTCCATTTATACACACTAAAGACATGATTTTCCAGAGGTGCTGAGTCCTCACAACTCCATTTGAAATCAATGGGAGCTACAGGTGCTCATCACCTCTGAAAAAACATCAAGCCCTAAACATAGTCATTAGGCTCTGGGCCATTTCATTTCAAGTTGAAAGTGTCGTCCTCAATTGGACACGTCAGTGCTAATCTGCCTAGCAGTTTTGTGATGGAGACAAAAATCAGATAAGGTATAACATGAGCAATTGCCACTGATTTAATTTCTTGTGACGTAATCTATGTGATCTCCCAAACTCCAACTGGTAGGGCAGCCTGACATTACCCCACTGAGCCCCTTCTACTCCCCCAAGCCTTAGAACTTGTTGTACCGTAAACCCCCCAGTACTCACTCTATTTCCCCCCTTTCCTCTTCCGTTACGAGCTCAGTCTTTCGCAGTTTACGTCTGCAGGCGCGCTCCTCGCTGCTACTGACGCTGGAACTCTCCTCCGAGCTTTCGGAAGTTAAATACTTGATCGCCACCGCATCCTTCTCGTTCATTTGCAAGCAGAGGCAGGAGGATTCGCTCACCTTAAACGAGTCCCCCCACATGCTTTGGCACATGTCAGTCCCATTTGCATACACCTGGATGTCAAACAAAACAGATGAAATTTAAAAAAACCACCTCACCCATCAAAAACATTTGGGCCTGATTTGCCGTTGCCCTTGGTCATTTCTACCAGTGTAAAGAGGATCTAAAACATTGCCAAATCAGCCCGGTAGTGTGTGAGACCCACTTAGCCTGCGGCGAACCACTTTGCAAGGTGCAGGGCAAAGAAGAATATAGCCCCTTATTTTCTAAGTTGTTTTCACATGCTGGGTGCCATTGATGAAAGCCAGTGTGTGTGTGTGTGTGACCCCATACAGCAAGAAATGTGCCAGGACAGTCTGACATGTATTTGTTTTAGTGACCTTTGTATCAGACAGAGTTCTGGAAGCTGAAATCATCTATTACTCCACGGAGCGGTGCAGTCTAACAGGTTCGTGGCTATCTGGAATTTCACTGTTGTCAGTATATGTACATTGTGGCCATTCAGGACCCCATACAGAGAGTACAGGCGGAACTCAGAACCGCCACCCCCTGCTTGTAGGGACTCCAAGGGAAGTCAGAGAGCCACAACATCACCTGCCCTTCCTCAGAGTGAGTCCCCCAAGGGGACATGTCCAGCTCAGGGAAATTACAGGTCCCTGTACCAGTTTAAAATGAATCTGTCCTATATCTTGTTTTGTACCAAAATCTTTTTTGGAAGCACTACCTACAGTGACCTTTATGATCACACTGCAAATAAACCTCTTCACTGTTTTGTTTATGTCATGGTAACCTGCTGCCCTCCTGGCCTGGACTCAAATAAACATTCATATCTTATTGGTTGGAGAAGCTAAGAACAGGTAGCCTTTAGGTCAGCAGAGTTGGCAGGTCATGTACTTTAGCAAAGCCATGAATAGGTCATTAATGTTATCTTTTTTTGCACTTTGTCCTCCACATATTTGCTGTTGATTTGTAATATCTTCTGTTTAAATTGTTGCAAAAGAGACTTAGCTACCCTGCAAAATAAAGCTGATAAAGTACTTGGCATATGCGGGATGGCAAATGAAGCAAGCTTGGGAGTAAAAAGCAGGAAGTATTGTTTAGTGATTGAAGGACTACTGAGGTCTATTTCTGACTTTGTCACTGACTCACTCTGCAACCTTGGTCTAGTCATTTAACTTGTCTCTGCATTCCTTTGTTAGTGGGAAATGAGTATAATACATATCCCAATAGGGGTGTTGTCAGACTAACTCAGTGCTTGTGAAGCACTCTGAGAGCCCTGATGGACATTACTATAAATATTCAAAGTATTGTATGGTCTATTGTTCTCATTGTTATGCAGACGCCCTCCCCTACACACTGTTATTGCTAATGGAAGTGATAAGTGTGCAGTGAGTGTAGTGGAGCCCTTGCCCATAAGCATCAGTTCCTATAAATATGCTGAGTTTCCAGTAGTGTGGCAAATTCTGCCATGTGCAACAGCTTTTCGAGTTACCCTTGTCACCCATGTGTGTCCATATAATAAAGGGAGTCTCTTCCCAGACGATTCACTCTGTGCAAGTCACTCATTTCTCTGTGGCTCAGGGATCATTAGATGAAAGGTGCTATAACTGCAAAGTATTAATGCTTGTTATTTTTAGGATAGCTTCTCAGGCCCAGTTATGTGGGAGCAGGGGTGGGGCCATCATGTCCGTGAGTTGCACCCTCCCCCCATTTCCCAGAGTGGTCTCTTCTTCTCCTGAAGAAGCTGTCTCTTTCTTTGCTCGGGGGAGGTGGGGGGGAGATCTTGGTGTATACCGGGGTTCTCAGACGTTTGTACTGGTGACCCCTTTCACACAGCAAGCCGAGTGCGACCCCCCTTATACGTTAAAAACACTTTTTTATATATTTAACACCATTATAAATGCTGGAGGCAAAGCGGGGTTTGGGGTGGAGGCTGACAGCTTGTGACCCCCCATATAATAATCTCGCGACCCCCCTGAGGGGTCCCAACCCCCAGTTTGAGAACCCCTGGTGTATACTATGCTTGTGATATGCAGGAGGTCAGACTAGATTAGTTCATAATGGTCTCTTCTTACAATCTATCATCTGGGAATCATATGGAGTCCATTCCAAATAGCCCTCAAAATCTCTGCGCTGTAATGTAGCGTTTAAAGCTAAAACGGAATGGCAGGGAGCTGGCTTCATCTAAGCTGCAGTTGCTGGAGGTGCTATGCCTGTGGAGGGCGAAGGCGGGCAGCAGGCCACTAACTTTCTCCTCCTTTTTGAACATGTGCTCTCTCTAGTGCAGGTCTGAGACTGCCAGCCAGTGCACAGAGAGCAATGAGGGGGATCTAAGCCACAAGGTGTGCAAGGGGCTCTGCATCCTTTTCCCCCCTGCACACCCAGAACAGGAAAATCTAGCCCTCTGGCTGTACCTTCTCTATTTCTGTCCCTTTCACTGGCTTAAGGCTTATTCCTTCAGTCCTGGCTATTTCCTTACATCCTGCTGGTCAGTTCAGGAGCCAGTAAAATCTATAAATATGCCTTTCTGTATTCCCTTATGTAAGGGACGTTTCTAGATTGAGCCCTGGTGTCCAACAGACTCCAAATCACTCACTCGTACTCTCATACTTGCTCGATTAATCTTATGCAATTCACTTTATTCTGATCTTGCTGCTATGGCTACAGGATATTCAGAAGAGAATCGACAAAGCATACCAGCCCTCAAACTGGTGCAGAGGCTTTTCATTTCTCCAGGCCTCAGGCTGTATTCTACTTGTGGGCTTTGCTCTAAGTTCCTTTTGCTGAGTGCTCTGCATGCAGAACAATGATACCATGTGGCTGATAAATTTTAAGATAGCATGTAAAACTGGCTAGGATCCATTGTACATTTTTGATATTCAGCATTAGTTCCAAATACTCCTTCCAGCCATTCACATGTCAAATGCATGGCTGTTGATTGCTTCACCATATGGGTTAAAGGCACTTGAAGAAATAAAGCATCTGTCTGCAATGCACTGACACTCGAGAACTCGCTGTGCCTTTTGGATATCAGCAACTTCCCTTCCAGAAGCTCACTCCAAGCACAAGCAAAGTCTGACTTTTTCAGCGTTTCATTTTAACCCTGAAAGCATGTTTTTTTAAATGGTTTGGACAGTGCTTTGAGGTGTTTTGGCTATTGCCATGTAAACAAGCAGAATACTATTAATTTGAATTATGTACCACAGGGGTTCTCAAACCTCATTGCAACGCAACCCCCTTCTGACAACAAAAATTACCACAGGACCCCAGGAGGGGGGACCGAAGCCGGAGCCCGCCCGAGCTTCCCCACCCTGGGGGAGGAAAAAGCCAAAGCCCCACTGCCCCAGGCCGGGGAGGCCAAAGCCCAAGCCCAAAGGCTTCAGCCCCAGGCAGGGGGCCTGTAACCTGAGCCCTGCCACCCAGGCTGAAGCCCTCAGTTTGAGAACCACTGATGTACTGTATTACTGTGCTTTGGTAATCGGAGAGAGCCATGATGTGATAATTTTGCTGGCAGAGGTTGTTATTAAACATAACGGGCCTTGCACCTTGTGCAGTCATTGATACCTGTAAAAAACAGGAGTAAAACATAACAATTGTGATTGGGCAGCATTATAGACCCCTTTTCTACAATTGTCGATGATCACAGAAGGTCAAGGCCATGGATAATCAGGCCCTTGTACTTTTGAACCGAGTGTATCTTTTATACGACATTGTACATTTCCTCTCCTCAGCTCCTCCCACGTGTATATTGTTTGTATAACATAAATGTATCTTCAAATCTTTCAGTTCGATGATTCGTTTTGTTCTATAACCGAAAGCCTCTATGTCCATTATCATACACGTTTCTTGCCATTTAATTAAAATTGCAATAAAGAACAATTGATTCTAAAAACCATTAACACACACACAAGCTCTCTCACCAACAGAAGTTGGTCCAATAAAAGATATTACCTCACCCACCTTGCCTCAATAATATTTTTGTAGCTTTTAGCTTCAAATTAAATGATTATTGCCGTGGAAATGAATGTGGAGTAGCAGAGAGCTTGCTTTGGAGAAACCTTTTCTTTACTCTCTTTCCAATCATCATGAGCAGTATTTGGTGATGACCATGGCCAGCAAGGGGTGTGGCTATGTGTTTAGCTTAAGAACTGCAGTGTCTGGTTCGAGTTGATAAGCCTTCTGGATTTGCTGCCCGGTCTTTCCCGGCTGATGGATATATTTTCTTTAAAAATAACTACCAGTGAGTTTAGGGATGGTGAAAGGTGACAGAAGGTTTCAGCCTATCTCCAGAACAGGCACAGAATGAGCAGGGACCAGCTTTAGCTATCGGAAGGGCGCTCAGAGCCAATTTTCTGAGGTGCTGTTTTCCGTCTTTGCTTCAACCAGAGCTGCATGGATTCTCAGCACTTCCGAAAGTCAAGCCCTTCGTCTCCACAGCCCATTCATTTATAGTCTTTTCTGCTGAGACTGCCACTTGTGGTGGGTTTTGTAATGCAGACACCAGCCCCACATCATCTCCTCTCACAGAGGCCACTGAACAGCCTTCAGGTGGCAACTGCAGTCATTCGCCACCACCCTGTTCCACCTTCAAGTAACAGTGACTTGGAGGCGAACAGCTTTGCAAGCCTAGTACCCGTCTTCACCAATGAATTTTCAGTTCAGTCCCCATCCTCTGTCCTCAGGGAACCCTGCTGTGTGAGCAATTCTCACAGGCTCATGTAAACTAAATCTTTATGAATATTCAAAACCCAGTTACTGTATTACAGTCCCACACTACACAATTTTCACCTGCTCCAAAGGCCACTGAAGTAAGTGGAAAGACCCCCATTTACTTCAATTAACTTTGGCTCAGGCCCCAGACAATGTTTTTCCCTAGGATTCCTCAGTGTCCCCATGTGAGCCTTTCATTTTATACTCTTGCTCAGAAGGTTAGGCACCACAGCCATCAGACTTTTATCAGAAGGACTGGGTGAGCTCTTATAAAGTCTGTCAGTGCTGCTGTTTAACCAGCAGGGGTCTGAGGAGGATAAAGGAAGAAAAACAGGGGGAGTCTAAGGATTTCCACAGGGATCTGGAGGACAAACTCTCTTCCCCGGGGGAAAAAAGCATGAGTGCAAAAGTACAAACAGGGTAAAGATGCGTCAAATCTAAAGGGTAAATATTTAAAAAAAAATGTGATTTAAGAGCTTACATCCCATTTTCAAAAGAGACATAAGCACTTAGGAGCTCTCATCGAAAGTCCATGGGACGCAGGCTCTTAAATCACATAGACATTTCTCCTTTTGTTGTATTCTCCAAGTTAATATTTCTCTACACTGTAGTATCTAGGCCAGTGGTTCTCAATCAGGGGTACATGTATGCTATACACTGAAATGTATATCATACACTGAAATATAGGTACAATATTTATACAGTATTCCAGTTGATTTCTTTTATAATTATATGGTAAAAATGAGAAAGTAAGCATTTTTTCAGTAATAGTGTACTTTTGTATTTTTTATGTCTGAGTTTGTAAGCAAGTAGTTTTAGATGAGGTGAAACTTGGGGCTACACAAGCTAAATCAGACTCCTGAAAGGGGTACAGTAGTTTGGAAAGGTTGAGAGCCACTGATCTAGACAATACAATGGTTAAAATATCAGGGTCTACTCCTTGCCATCCTGCTTCACCCAAGGTGAGAAATTAAATAAGAAAAAATCTGGTACACCTCTACCCCGATATAACGCGACCCGATATAACATGAATTTGGATATAACGCGGTAAAGCAGTGCTCTGGGGGGGCGGGGCTGCGCACTCCGGCAGATCAAAGCAAGTTCAATATAATGCAGTTTCACCTATAACGTGGTAAGATTTTTTGGCTCCTGAGGACAGCGTTATATCGGGGTAGACATGTATAGACAAAACCTGGAATTGTAGAAGTCCAAACAATTTACCTGTTGATTTTTTTCCCTCAAAGACTTTTTTGATGAGTTAACCCCTCAGGAAGTAGCGCTCACTGTCTTTTAATTCTCTTATTCCTGTAACTGATCCGGTGTGCTTTCTCACCTTATTGTAGGGGATGCATTCGTTTTTACAGTGGTTCTCTCCATTTTCATCCCATTCCCAATCTGTCAGCCAGTTGTGGATGCAGGTGGCATCATTTTTACATGCTTCATACCTGCATGGAGGTTAGTGAGGAACAGAAAGTAAAATTATTTACCTCCTTGTTCTTCAGAGATGTCACTGGATTACACGGATGTCACACAAAGAAGGGCGCATGGGTTCTGCTAATACTCTGTGCTTACATAGCACTTTTCCTCCAGTGATCATATTATCTCCTTTTTACTGTAGGGAAACTGAGGCAAACTCCATCTTTGATCCATGGACTTTCTGCTCTCTTATACCCAGCATCTACAAGGAGCCAAAATTGGACAGCAGCAGCCATTTGGGGCAGGCACCCCAAGGACAGACCATCCTCAGAGAGAAGTGGGGAATTTTTATATTTACAAAAGGAAAGAAGCTAATAATGCCAGTTTGAAGGGTGCTGTAAAGAGTCTGTAAAGTCTCCGAGTCCCAGCTGCTGGGACTGGACAACGGGGATGGATCACTCCACAACTGCTCTATTCATTCCCTCTGAAGCCTCTGGCACCGGCCATGGTCAGAGGACAGGACACTGGATGGACTATTGGTCTGACCCAGTGTGGCTGTTCTTATGTTCTAAAGAAATGGGGAAAGCAATCAACTAATGAGCAATTAAATAAGGTCATATAAAAATAGTCCAAGAGCCCAGGTTCACTAGTTCTAGGGGGTTGAAGCTGGGGGCAGAAGAGAGGATGTTAAAGGAGCCCAGAGGACTATGGTTTGATAGGAACTGTCTTAAATGACAATTAAATAAAAAAGCAGGTAAATTATTTGTAATCGTCAAGTATTGTAAAC